ATGACCTACTCACCAAAGCCGACATAGCAGCACATCCAAAAGAGGTTAGTGAAGCTTTGTGCACTGAACTCAAAATCTGGATTGACAACCGATGCTTTGAGATGTATTATTGATCCAAAGCTTCCAACATCATCACATCCAGGTATGTATATAAGTGGAAGTTTGTAAAGGTGGGTACCGAGAACGTTTAAACCATTCGTCTCAGACTTGTCCTTCGTGGATTTATGGATACTGAGGCTTTCGACGTGGAAACATTCTCGGGAACCGCCCGAAGGCAGTCCCAACGACTCCCTGCAAGTGAGGCGGCATGTCATCCAGAATGGATCTTAGCATCAATGGATATTGACAAGGCGTTCCTCAAGGGTCTGACCTTTGAGGAACTTGCCCATGCCACCGGCGAAGAAACTCGCATGGTCTGCTTCACCCTTCCACCGGGAAGTGCCCAGGTACTTCGTACACTACCCGGCTTCTCATCCTATGACGAAAGCCGACGCTGCCTCAGGTGCCTCAAACCAGGAACGGGTACAAAGGACGCTCCAAGAGCGTTCTCTCTCAAACTTCGTACGACCACACGAGCTATAGGCCTTGCGCCGACCAGTTATGATCCTGAATTTGAATTCAGTCAAGATCTGCTAACGGCAAAACATGTCGATGATATTATCATGACAGGCCTAGAGAAACATATAGATGACTATGTACAGCGTGTCGAAAAGGTGTCTGGCAAATGCAAGCTCAACAAACACACATATACGAACTGCGCCGTTCGCTACACTAAGAATGATCAAGGGGATGTGATCATGGATCAGGACGAGTATATCAAACAACTACGTCCTATCACACACCCAGAACTTACAGGAGCGGCGGCCGATGCCAAAGCCACGAAACTCATTACCGACATGTTCGTCAGCTTGCGAGGAGCCCTCGCCTATGCCCTTCATACTCAAATCTGGCTCATGGTATACGTGGTCTCTCTCCAGAAAATCCAAGAGCCCACCAACCTGCAAGTCAGACGTCTGAAAGCTGTGGCGCGAAAGCTGATCAGCAGCCCGAAACGCATCACCTTCCCTCGGATGAAGCCGACGAATGAAGTGGACATCCACAGCGATTCGGGGCATCGGAAGCTCACCGGGGAGGAGGATGATGAGACCAAGGGCTACGGCATACGCGGGGCTAATGTACTACGGCGAGGAAACTCGCCTCAAGGCAAGTCCGTCGTTCACCTCTGTGACGGACTATGCAAATCACACCGACTGCAGGTGAGGTCCAGCTATGCTGCGGAGGCACTCGCAGCTGCGCATAACCTCGATGAGTGTTACCCTACGCTCATCACTCTCCACGAGCTCAAGGCAGGAGCTCTGACTCCACGACAACTACGAGATATGCGTGAAGTTGGAGGCCTAGCCATCAAAGTATCTCTTACCATAGACGCTGAGTCCGTTTATAAATCATTATCAAGCAAGGATCTTAAGATACCGACAGAGCGGACTCTGCTTGGACATATCAGTTGGATATAGGTATAGTACATAACGTGCAGTGGTGTGATACTAGGGATATGACCGCAGACGGGCATACAAAGGGAAGCATCGATCGGGAGCTGCTTCTGGAAGTGATGTCAGGCACTCAGTCATTCAAGTATGACGTGAAGCAGTTTGTTCCCTTTCGGGGTCCCGAGGACAGAAACAAACCCAAGTCTAATCAATTTTAGTCTGTCCTTGTTGCCCCCGCGGTCCAATTTGCCAGCATGGGCGCCTACTACAGAGGCGCCCTTCTAGATGCTCGGAAACGAGCCTTACATTTCACGCCTGGCAACGAGCCGGCTTTATATGACTCAGGCTCTCTGCCTTAATACCTATTTGCTCGGTGAGGTATGGGCCGTTTGGCTTACCTCTAGCTGAGCCGATAGCCCTTCATCGTTCGAAGGGGCTATCTTGTATTCGCGTGAAATGCCTTGTGAGGAAACTCGCCTTACAGTCTGGTGTTAGGCCAGACTGTACACACTGTTTTCTTTCTTGCAAACAGTTGTGCGCGTGGCCTTTGTAGAGCCTAACGGCTGCGCGGCTATGCTCTCCGTCTCCTCCCCTCCCGACTTTAAGGGTAGCTCTTTGGGAGATGTTACAGTATCGGGAGCATAGCCCACGCGCCGTTGCCTTTGGCTCAAGGCACGCGCGCCCTATTTGCCCGGACGCTTACCTTAGTGTTCGCTATGTGCTGGAAAGACCGATACATCGATCTTATCCTATCATACCCGTCCATTCCCCATACTGAACCACCCCAGCAGGGTAATGGGCGCTATCTGCCATTCGATTCCCATGGGAGCGGATGCTATTTGAGTTACCAGGCTCACTTTCGACTCCGTGATCCACCCGCGAACCACCCGCGACCCACCCCGCGACCCACCCACACTGCAGCGGGCTCGATGCAAAAACATGTAAGAATTGGGCGCCGGCGGCGGGCTTCTTCAGAGCCTCGCAGGCTGCCGGCGTCCCCGCCCCGCCGCCCCCCTCGCTCTTATGTGCAAGCGGTTCGTGCATCGGGTGACCTTCGCCCCACCCCGCCACCGTACTTTGTGGGTAAGAAGCCCGCTGGATTCAGGAGGGGAAAAATACACAGACACAATGAATCGTCGACCCCCAGGAAAAGATGGGAAAGCATGGGAAGTGGGGGGGAATTCGAAGACACGGAAAATATGGGAAAGTATGGGGAATCCTGGTATTTGTGTGTAATTGTTCGTGTGTGTCTTTGTGTTCCCTGATGGATGTTCGTTGGGGTCTCGTGGGCGGCCCCTCGGGGGCCTCTTGGAGGCAGTTCTGAGGCCTCTTGGGGGCCGTAGGCCTCTTGGGGCATTCAACTTGGAGGCCTCTTGGGGGCCTCTTGGGGGCCTCTTGGGCGCCTCTCGGGGGCCTCTTGGGGCGGAAGACTCGGATGTTCGGTTCGTGCTCCCTCGCTTGGGCCCCTTTTGGGGCGATCTTGGGGCCCAGTTGGACCGTATGGGGCGCCTCTTGGGCCGTCTGGGGCGCTCTGAGGCCGTCTTGGGGCCCTCTTGGAGGCCTCTTGGGCCGTCTTGGGGTGGTCTTGGGGGCCTCCTGGGCCGTCTTGGAGCATCGGAGAGCCGAACAGGCCAGAGCTTCAAAAACCAATGGACAATCAATGATTTGTGCCTCGTGGGGCCCTCTTGGGAGGCCTCATGGAGGCCTTTGGGGGCGTGTTGGAGGCCTCTTGGGCCATCGTGAGGCCATCTTGGGCTTCTTGGAGCGATCGTTCCGCGACTCGTTTCTTGGACCGTCTAGTGAGCCTCTTGCGGCCCTCTGGGCCCATCTTGGTTGGGCCCGTAAAAGTCAAGCGACAAGTCGTGATGGGTCGGTCCCAAAGGGCACGCGGGAAACCCGGGTAGATTGCGGAATTTGGTGTCCGGGCACCGTAAAGACTCCTCAGGAGTGAGGGTTGAGGTTCCATGGATTGGGCAAAGGACCTGAGGACACGCCTACTCCGTGCCCAGCGGCACTGGCGGATCCTAGTTGCAGCGCCATGTCCAGCGCAATCGATTGATCCTTGCATCTCGAGCTCTGGGAGGCAGTCAAGCTTCTGCCTCTTGGCAACGTGGGTGATTCGATGCGTTGCTGCCATTGTGAATGCTGCCATCTGTGCTTTACAGCTAAGGGACCCACTCATTGAAGCTGTCGTGCTCACCCTTGCATCTTCACTGTGTCGAAGAAGCCTGCGCCGAGTCACACCCGCCCCCCTGCCTTCTGGAAGTGCCTGTGTTGTGCTATGTCGACTGCTGGTGCGGCCACGCTGCTGGGCTGCATGTTCCCTCCAGCGCTTTGGAAAACGGCCGGGGCGATCAATGTCGGCGGCGAACTCAAGTGGCAATGCAGATTGGGTGGGCCTTCTCAGAAGGCTCGGAAGACCTCGGGCTTTTCTGGGAAGTATTCTGAGCGAAGAGCCGAGGTACCCACGACGACGACGACGACGACGACGACGCGGACGACGGACGACGGACGACGGACGACGGACGACGGACGACGGACGACGACGACGACGACGACGACGACGACGACGACGACGACAACGGCTCCTCGGAAGGCCCGAGGGCTTCTGCGAAGCCAGCCGCCGCCCCCTGCGACGGCGTGCCCCTCTCACTTCAAGCCCGGGCTCGCCGCCAGCTGGCTCTTCCTGCTTCTTTCTCCTCCTCCTCCCTGCTCAAGCTTCCGCAGTTGGTTGCAACTTGGAAGTCGCTGGCGACCCCGCCCTCTGCAAGCATCGAGATGGGCTGCTGCATGGCGTCCTACCGGTCGCTGGCCGCCGAGCCGCAATTGCCCCCGCACATGCCGGAGCTGGAGGAGGTCCCTGTGCCAGCGGATGCGCAGGAACGGTGGGAGAGGAACGGCGGCCTGGAGCTCGACCCCGTGCTCGGCAGTGGAGCGGTCGTCCTGATGGACGCGGAGTGGATGGTGAGGCGAGCGCGCACTGGCGGCGTCCTCGAGCCGCGCCAGGCGTTGCCGCCGACGGCCTTCATTTCCCACAGCGCCGTCAAGGCCGACTTGGGTCATTTTGCAGAGTCGCTGCACGTCGCGTGCATATCACACTGCTGGCTGCAGGCGAACCACCCGGATCCACGCGGGCACAACCTGCGCATCGTGGGCCAGGCCCTTGAGCTACTGGAGCTTGAGTCAGAGGGCCCCCGGGGTGTATTCATGGACTTCTGCTGCATCCATCAAAACTGCAGGGACCGCGAGGGCGTTCCCCAGCAGCGCACCTATCAGCGGCTCGAAGGCTCAGATTCGTTCGAGGACGATGCCCTCGGCCGCTTCGAGCTGGAGCATGCGCTCTTCAAGGAGGCATTGGGGAGCCTGGGGAGCTTCTACTCCCACCCCGCCACTGTCGTCTTCATGCTGACGCGGTTTCCAGATGATTACGGCGATGCTGCAAAGTACACCCGGTCGGGCAACACGGAGCAGTACTTCAACCGTGGCTGGTGCTTCTGCGAGTCCTCCTGGGCAATGCTGACGAAGCCGTCTGGCAAGCTCTTGGACCTCGGCCGATCCACCGGAGCGGAGACCCTCTACATCGCGTTGGTGCACAACTGCGCCGCGGGGCGCCGGGCGCCCCTCCTGCCCGACGCCTTCGACGTGGAGCTGCAGAGCAAGGGCTTCACCAACGGCAAGGACGACCGGCCCCGGGTCGCCGAGCTCTACCGCTCCGCCTTCGCGCAGCGCTTCGAGGCCGCGGAGCACCTGCGCTACGACGGGCTGCAGTGGGGGGACGAGGAGGCGCAGCAGCTGGCCGCCGTGCTCGCCTCGGGCGCCGCGCCCCGGCTGCAGGAGCTCCACCTCGTCAGCAACCGCGTGGGCGGCGAGGGCGCCGCGTGGCTGGCGGAGGCCCTGCGCGCCCCGGGCGCGCTGCCCCAGCTGCAGTGGCTCTGCCTCGACATCAACCGCGTGGGCGACGAGGGCGCCGCGCGGCTGGCGGAGGCCCTGCGCGCCCCGGGGGCGCTGCCCCAGCTGCGGAGGCTCTACCTCGCCGATAACCGCGTGGGCGACGAGGGCGCCGCGCGGCTGGCGGAGGCCCTGCGCGCCCCGGGCGCGCTGCCCCAGCTGCAGGAGCTCCACCTCGCCGATAACCGCGTGGGCGACGAGGGCGCCGCGCGGCTGGCGGAGGCCCTGCGCGCCCCGGGCGCGCTGCCCCAGCTGCAGCTGCTCTGCCTCCACAACAACCCGCTCGGCGGGCCGGGCCGGGCGGCGCTGCGCGCCGCGTGGGCGGAGGCCAGGAACCGGGAGGTCGGCCTGGAGCTCGACTGAGGAGGGCCGGGCGCGGCGCGGCGCGCGGCCGTCCGAGGCGCGCGGCGCGAGAGGCCTCGCCGCCTCCCCCGCCCTCCCGGGGCCCTGCCCCGCTGCCCTCCTCCCCTCCTCCGCGTCTCCTCCTTGCGCTCCGTCCGCTTCCCTCCTGCTCCTCTTTCCTCCCCTCCTTCCTTGTCTTTGCTCCCCTCCCCGCGCCCTCTTGGGCCGTCTCGGAGCCGAGCTCTTGGGCCGTCTTGGGGCCCGTGGGCCGCGTGATTCTAAAGAATACGAGGAAGCAGGCCATGGGAGCCGCCCGGGGGCCGCTTCACTCGAACAAAAACGATGGAAAACGGTCAAGTAGACCGATTTGACCGTTGCCCCCTCCGCCGGACCCCCTCTCCAAAATGGCTTCGACCCCTACGAAATGTCTCTCGCTCCGCTCTGAAAATCAGTGAAAGAAAGAGCGCTGCAGGAACTTGACCGAAATTACTCATGAAAACCGACAAAGCGCAGCCAACCGCCGCAAAGAGACCAGAAGGGGAGTCGGGGCGGAGGAGCGGGGCGTGCGCAGTAAGGTCATCAGCTGCTGTCACTGCTGCTGGTACACGCCGATCCTATTTCAAGAATCGATATGCTTTTGCTGTGGCTCGTTATTCCTAGGATTGCTTTCGACGCCTCGCCTCGCAGTAGCCTTCATCACAATTGCAGGCTGACCACGTGGCCTCAAGGTAGGCTGAGCTTGGCTCCAGAAGTATTTTCCATGTGCTCATCTGTTTCCATCCGTGCGATGAGAGAAGTCGGTGTCGGTCGAGTATCTCTCTCGACGCGTACCGAGCACGTCCGTCTTTTTGCCACAGGGGAGAGGAGACAGAGCTCGAAGGGCCAGCTTTCCCCAAAAAGTGAGTGCCGTACCGAGGAGGACTTCGCTCGACGCTTGAACATTCACAGTGCAATAACTTACATTTTGGGGTCCACGCTGGTAAGCATGTGTCCTTCACTCTCCTCCTGCCTCTCCAAGTTGATGGCCTTGCACGTCAGCAGGCCGCTGACGGGAGCATTAGTTCGCCAGCAAGGTCGAGGGATCTTCGGCGCCAGCAGTGAGTGCGTCAAACGTGTAAACTTGGACGCGTACCTGCGGTATTCGAGGTGCCGGCGTGTGGAAGACGCTCTCCGTTCGTCGTCGTCGTCGTCGCCGTCGCCGTTCCCCCCCTTTCCCCGGGCCCTCCCCCTCAAGCGCGCCAGCCAACGCGAAATTCAGCAACGCCGTAGTTGTGGAAGGGGCGCATTGCGGAAAACGCGGGGTCGACAGAACCTGCAGTTTGGCGAAGGGCACCTTTGTGCAGCTGCGTGTAGCGCGCAGGGCGTGGCCCTCTCCTCGTATGCTGCACGGCGATGCGTGGTAGTTCGATGAGGAGGAGGAGGAGGAGGAGGAGGAGGAGGAGGGCGCCAGGCACGACGTAGGCCTGGGCGGTTTCAGCGTTTTTCAGCATGGCGTCGAGGAAGCAAGAAGAGGACGACGAACATCTGTCGAGGGGCCCAGGGGCTCCCGAGTCGAGCGCAGGGTTGGGGGCACCCTGGGCCATGGACACCCTCGGCAGCCCCCCGAGAGCATGGCTCGCTCTCCAGGGGTCCCGCTCGTCTGGAAGCGAACCGGCTCCTTCGGGGGCCCCCAAACGGGGTGGCGACCACACCGTGTGGTGAGTCGGTGGGGCTTCGGGGTCCCCCCGCAGTTTTGGGACTCGAGGCCCTCTCCGAGGACGTCTCGGGCGACGGGGGCCTCCGGGGTCCCAAGAGACCGTGCGGCGACAGACCGTGCGCTGAGGCTTTTGGGGGGGTATCGAGAGGTCACCGCACGGCCTGCCGCCGCCACCGTTTCGGGACTCCAAGCTCCTCCGCGCTGGAGGCCTCCTGTCGCCGTCCGAAGAGGGCTCCCCGGATCCCGCTCGCCGTGGCTGCCGCGGCGTCTCTTTTTCGGCCGCCGCCCCTCCCTTGAAGGCCCGGCGGGTCCCGCTCGCGCGCGCCGTCGTGCGATGTTTGCGCCTCGTTGTTTTAGTGCTTCTGGGTCCCTGGGTCCCGCTTGCTCTGGTTGGCGCGGCTCGCCCATCGCCTCCACCGTAGGGTCCCGTGTCCCGCTTGCTCTGGCCGCTGCGATGTTCGCATCGCCGCCCCAGGGTTCCTGGGCCCGTGGGTTCCGCTTGCTTCGGCTGTTGCTACAGAGCGCCCTGTTTCCGCTCGACCTGTCTGCCGCGTCAGTATGCCCGGTCCCCGCCCGTGGGGGTCCCCCCGTCCCGCTCTTTTTTTGGCTGCTGCGAGTGTCGCGTCGTGGCCCCTGGGTTCTCTGCTCGGGCTTGCCCTCGGCTGCCGCGCCTCTCTCCGGCCGCTGCCCACCAGAGGAGGAGGAGGAGGAGGAGGAGGAGGAGGAGGAGTGTAAACCCAAGTGCAGGAGGAGGAGGAGGGAAGGAGGAGGGAGGGGAGGAGGAGGCCCTGGCTCCCGCCTGCCTTCGGCTGCTGCGACGTGCCTGTCGCTGCGCGCGAGGCCCCGGGCCCCACGGGGCCAGGCCGCCCGGCCCTCGCTGCCCCTCGCCCTTGCCGGCTGCTCCTCCTTCTCCTCCTCCTCCTCCTCTTCCTCCTCCTCCTCCTCCTCTTACTCCTCCTCCTCCTCCTGTTCCTGGGGCGGCTGCTCCGTGGGTGCCCCCGTTGCCTCCTCGTGCCTCTGCGCGTCCCGCTTGTCTGCTTCGGGCTGTCTTGGCGGATCTGGAGCGCTGGCCGGTGAGCTTGCCTGCCCCCAAGGAGGAGGAGGAGGAGGAGGAGGAGGAGCAGGAGGAGGAGGAGGAGGATTTGACCTGGATCCTGGACCCCATGGGCCAGGTCCTCTTCCTCATTCTCTAGGCCTCCTAGATGGGGTCGGAGTAGATGGGGTCGGAGGATCGGGCCGTATCGGCGCCGCATCGCCGATGCGGCTGGATGTGGAGCCCGATGTGCGCCACGTCGACGTCGCCGACGTCGACGATGCACCGCCGGTGCACGATCCTCCGACCACATCTACTCCAACCCCACATAGGAGGCCTCTATGGTGCTGGCCTGCTTGCCCACCCTTCCCGCCGTCTTTCGGCTCGGCTGCGCCTCTGTACCTCCCGGGTCTTTCGTTCGTTCGTTTTGTTGTCGATCAGTCGGCATGTCACCGACCCGTCCCTGGGGTCTGTGCAAGGTCTGCAGGCTTAGGCTTGACAGCTCCCATCGCCCAAATCGGATGAGAGTGCCAGCCTGCGCAGAGCATCGTGCTGCCGAGCGTGTGTACGAGCGAGAGCGAGATGAGCAGACGGACGAGAAGGCAGGCTGACCAGGTGGTAGCAGTCCACAGTCATTTCAAGCTCCTCGCCTTGTATTTTGCCTGGTCTCTTCTGCCGCGCTTGCCGTTGGCGTGGCGGCATCAAGTTGGTTGCCGCATCTGTTTGTAGGCATATTCGCATGCAGGTGGTGAGTTCGTTGCCCAGCTGGAAGTTTGTCAGGCGGACGGATGGTGCGGTATTCACCTTCGCATATGACGTCTGGCGCCCCGCAAGTCCTCTGATGATAGTTTGGCCCGGCTCCCAGCTGCTGGCAATCACCTGAGGCGTTGTCATGCCTCTTCTCCCTCCTCCCATCGTGTTTTCTCCTCCCTCCTCCCCCTCCTCCTCTCTAATCCCCTCATGGTGCACCTTCTCCTCGATCCTCGCCCCTCCCCTCTCCTCCTTCCTACTCTCCGTCCTCTCCGTCCTCCCCGGCCCCTCTCCTCCCACAGTGCCTCGTGCTCCCTCCTACGACGATGACAGGAAAGACAACGAGAGGCAACTGGATTGTGAAACACAACAGAAACATGATGTTCGCGCTCGCGGGCCAGGCGCTAAACGGTAGGTGATGTCGCATGCGAGGTAACCTCTTTTCTCTCCTCTCCACATCCTCCCAGCAGCTTGGCAGCGTGCAGCTAAACATCTGTTCAACTTCTGTGTTTAAACCAGCTGGAGGCGCAAAGTCCGGCCTCACTGAGAGGATCAGCTGGGATAAAGATTGAGCAGTTGTTTGCATGGCTAATTTAACCTGTGTATTCAGTCGGATCCGCAAAGGACGGCCTCACTGAGAGGATCGACTGTTTAAACGCAGATTTTAAACAGTTGAATTCGTTTCGCTTTTAACCCTTCGCTGTACGCTGCGCACTGGCGCAAGCGGTCTGGGTACATGCCCTAACGTCCTGCTCTTCCTCTTTCTCCTCTCGTTCCTCTTCGTCTCACTCCTCGACGACGACGACAACAGACGACGACGACGACGACGAAGTCCAGCGGCCTGGCGGTTTGATGGCGTCGCCGCGCCGGTCGGCCGAGCTGCACGCAGCGGCTCCGAGGGGCCCCGGGGGGCACAGAAGCTGCCTCCGGCCGCCCTCTCCCTCCTCGTCCTCCTCCTCCTCCTCTTAACCTCTTTTCTCTCCTCTCTACATCCTCCCAGCAGCTTGGCAGCGTGCAGCTAAACATCTGTTCAACTTTTGTGTTTAAACCAGCTGGAGGCGCAAAGTCCGGCCTCACTGAGAGGATCAGCTGGGATAAACATTGAGCAGTTGTTTGCATGGCTAATTTAACCTGTGTATTCAGTCGGATCCGCAAAGGACGGCCTCACTGAGAGGATCGACTGTTTAAACGCAGATTTTAAACAGTTGAATTCGTTTCGCTTTTAGCCCTTCGCTGTACGCTGCGCACTGGCGCAAGCGGTCTGGGTACATGCCCTAGCGTCCTGCTCTTCCTCTTTCTCCTCTCGTTCCTCTTCGTCTCACTCCTCGACGACTCGTCGTTCTCCTCCTCTTCTCCTCTTCCTCCTCCTCTTCCTCCTCCTCCTCCTCCTCTTTTTCTGCTCCTTTTCCTCCTCTCCGCTGGCGGAACCGCTGGCGTCGCCGCCGGTGCCGCGGCTGGCCTGGGTCGCGCGGCGGTAGCGCC